GATGGTTTATGTCTGAGGAATGCATCGGTTGTGAAATTGCATCCCTCGGCTCCTCTCTGATTGGCCACTGTTAACGAAGCAGACGAGAACGACAAAAGTATTGCGTGTGTTCCCGTAATAAATTAAAGAGGAGCTTATTTAAAAAAATTTAAAAAAAAAAGATATGCAACTTAAATAACATGAAGTCTGTGATTTCCCTAAATCGGCTTTTCCCAAGGACCGTAGGTGTAATTTTATTGTTTATTAAAAAAAGATGCACGTTTATTGTTTCCTTTAACAAGCAGATGGCCGCCTTGACTTATTTGTTTGTTTTTCGTTTCTGAATGGCCGATCAGATGCATGATGGGAGATTCAATGAGCGGCTCGTCAGAACGGCGACGTCGCAACTCTCCAAAGGTTACTTTGGTTTAGAGCTGCGCAAACAGCTGGCCCTAAGTCCCCTTGCTTCGGAAATAAAATCTTAAGGCCGCAACACTTGCCGACTGCTCAGAAGATGGTTGTGCCCGGCAAAATCAGGGTGGATACCTCAGTGGTGTAGCACTTTGCCTTTCTCCTTCAAGACTTATCAATCCCTCTTGCTGCTTATAAAAACACCCTGAACCAGTCCGTGATGCTTTTGTTCTTGCCTGGTTCTACCACAATATCTCTACCCATACTTCTCTGTAGTTCACAGATATTTCTAATTGCATTTTTCACATGAAAAATACTGTGTAAGGATGTGGCTGTATTATACTTCAGTTAGTATAATATATTAGTTGGCCTGGTAGCCAGGTTGTAACCCTACGATGCACTGAATGCAGTGAGACTGTATAATTTATTGTGCTTAATGTTCCTGTCGGTGTGTTAATGACCTCTGGTTTGTTCTAATTCATTTGCTGGACCTGTGTGCTCTTAATCTGTATGCCCCTTTGGACCTATAACATAAATGTATATGAGGGGAAAAATGACAGAAAACTTTCCAAACAAATAATGTTGACCTGTCAGCGTGGAGTCGAGGGGTTTCACTCTGACCATGAGGTTCTGAGGGCAAACACTGGCAGCTGAAGTCAGGGTTTGGTTTCTGGATCCGCATTTTTTGTTGCCACGTCTGCACAATCGGTGCTGTTTCACACCCACGGTTAACAGTTTCAGGGTCAGCCGTCCGCTCCCACCTGCAGAGCCATCTTTGATGTGTCCCAAGATCCACCTGACTGTTGTCCAGAAAGGTTTCTTTTTTTTTTTTACTGACATGGAAGGTTCCGGTCATTTCCTTCAGTGTTCTAAGGTTGACCTTTAGGGTGCTGTGTGGCTCTGCGGGTTAGGATGCTGTGCTTGTGATCGGGAAAGGTCACCGGTTCCAACCCCAGGGTCAGCAGAGTGATTTCACTATTTGGTGAGATCTTATCTGGGATAGCTCCAGGGATTGACCCTGCTTTCTCAAACATTTTATGTTGCTTTGCATAACAGCATCTGCTGTTTAAATAAAATGTGGAGAAATGTCATAAAATGCACTTCCACTGTCTCGAAAGTTGAGCAGGGTATTTGGGGCAGAAGTACCATGCGAAGTGGTTACAAAGAATTCTGAATTCTCTTGAGCTGTTTATCTGTTTCCAAGTTGCCGCTCTTCTGTTTGTTCTCAGCCGGGGGCTTCTGCTGAATGATTGCGGGAGGGACGGTGTATGTGGCTTGGGAATCACACGACACCCCCTAAGATCTACCGAACCATTGAGTTGACCGGTATTAATGAGCGAGACTGCAGGGAAGTGAGGGATTTTCTTAGATGGTCTCGCATCTTTGCATTCTTGATGGTCATGGTCCTTCCATCTTACATGGGAGGAGAAACCCAGACGTGGGACTTTTAAAACGCTACGAAAAGAGTATCTTGACAAATGCATCAGACTAAGCTTGACAGGCTCATCATGTAACTAAATAAGAACTCTGTGCTCTTAAATTACCATTTGGTGCTAATTTTGCATTCCTGTGTCTTCATGCATACACTATAATCTCACAGTTCACTGTAATGTTACACTTTTTTGTTGTGCTTTTTCTTGTTTTCTAAATAGTAAGTCATTTCTTTCTTTGCTCCTCATTGTTGAAATTATTCTCCAAAGTCAAATTAACATTATCTAATTTTGAGGCACTATGTAGTCCGCATTCTCGTCGCCCCATGGATGACCTCCCCCCGTGGGCCAGATAGGATTGCGTTTAGGGAGCGTGCGATCGTACGGAACGCAAGACTGCCACTGCACTGATCAGCCCACCCTTCCCTACCTCCCTCGAGCTGGATGGGAGATTATGTTGTCATTGTAATCGTTGCCCCCTCCCCCCCCAAGGCTTTCTTTCTGCCAGATGAAGACTCATGTACTTCACTCTGAAGTGGGGGAGGGAAATCCCATTTATAGCTGCGCTCATCTTTCCAGTGATCGAGGATCCATACCCGTGTCCTGAAGGTTATAGGTTTTGAATCTGGGGGCTGACAAAGTATTCATATCACCATTGCATCCAAGAGCCAGGACCTTGACTCCAGCTGCTTCAGCTGTGCTGGACACTGACTCGCCCTATACTTCACCTGTAAAACACTCTCATGGAGAGCAAGATAGGCAAAGAACTCCTTTACGTTGTTCAAAATTTGCTATGGTCCAAGGTCTGACCTGGGGATGCCATCCAACACAAGTTATGAATGGCTGCGTCGGGCCAGAATAAGATGCTGTCCACACCAAGGGTTTCTGCCGAAGGAGCAAATCTCAAAATAAGCATCTCTGAAAGATTCACGTCCCGTGACACATCTCCGCTCCCCCCCCCCTCCGCCCATGTTCGTGTTTGCCTGCGAAGCGGGATCTGCTTCTCTGAGAAGCGGCCGAGTGTAGCTAAACACATAGCCAGGCTTTTGGAGCTCCAAGTGGGGTGTTCAGTCCATGGGAAAGCGTTCGTTTGGACTTAATCGACAGGCTTTCGCCAAACAGATGGCTCTTCGGCAAACGAGGCACGCTGTCCAGCCAAGCACTTTCCCTGGGTTTCTTTCACTCTCAGAAGAATCAGCATCCCCATACAGAGTAGTAATCCAAATAGGAGAAAAAAATGTGCAGTTTGACAGTTCTGATTAGTAATGGATGTATTTTTTATATCATATTTTTTTCTCTAATCATGGCTGTACCACCCCCCCCCCCCCCCAAGTCCTCTGATCATTGGGTAATTTCTGTTAAATAAGTGCTTAGCTTTCTAGCTTTCTGAAACAGCCACTGCGACTTCAGGGAGTCATTTTTACAATCAGCGCCCAAGGGCTTAAATTACCATCTCCCTGCACTTCTATAATTAGCCTGATATTAGCAAGAAATGTTTGCTTTGGTTAAATTATTCAGAACATTTATTTCATTCGTCAGAGGAAAGATCAAATTGTTTCTTTAATGCACGGTTAAAGGCGGACAAGCAAGCAAAAAAAAAAAGCTTTAGTTACAGAATAACCATGCTTTCAGGTCTCATTATTTGTCCCTGGAAAGCCCGTCTTTGCACTGTGTGCTGGATAAATGCTGGCAGTTTCAGTTTTAAAATGCTGCATTTCTGCATTTTATGGTGATTTTTGGGGGTCACAACTTTAGGATTATAAGGTGCTGATTAAGTCCAATGAAGTATGATGCATAAGCTGGGTTAGAGGTGGTGAGCCCTGTGTTTGGGAGGATCTGACATTGTTAGATGGTTCAGCGTCATCTGAAAGTTTCTTAATTTCTTCTAAGCGATTTGAAATGCGCTTATGTCCCCAGCCCGCTTATGAATGGTTTTTAAACGTTCTGTTGTCCTAAGCTGTTTACAGATGCGTGAAAACCACTCTCAACAGACTCTGCAATCACATATAAATAATCAGCGACAGACTTTATTAATGCGTTGATACATAGCCAGTCTTAGTCTGTAATAAATATATTATCAATAATGAGATACTGGCATTATAATTTCCAGATATTACCTTTGCCGTTTAGTGGTGTTTGTAATAATTTATAAGCAAACCTGGAAACTGTTACCGTAGGAACATCAGAGCATATCCAGGGAGCTGTTTGTTATTCGGATTCTTCCCATGATGATGGAGCTGATTAGGCTGAGCTGTATGCCCTGTTCTACCTGGGCCCCATCTCCCCCCAGCCGTCTGAGGCACAATTACCCCAAAGTGAATACATGGGGGCCCCCGTCTTGTGGAAATAGCGGAGCTACTCGTGGACTGTGCGGCAGCTAACTGGCTCCCTGTCGCCGTGCCAGCAGCCATGAGCTGCGCGGTGCAACGGACGATCCCTGTGTTCTGCTGTTCGGCGACGGGCCGGGATGGCAGCTACGTCAGTGCCCGGCCGAGGCTGCCCGGCCGAGGCTGCCCGTGTGTCCTTGCACAAGGCCCTTAATTCAGCTGGATGTCATGGTAGCTGTTGCATAAGCAGCCTGTGTAGTAGCCCTCGGTGCATGCAGATTAGCACCCCAAGCAGCGTTTGTGTAGGTAACAATCCACTTGGTGTGGAGGAGGGACCTTTTCACCATCTGGAGACCTACTTTCCAAACAATTTTTGTGCTTTTCGTCTCACTCCCCAACATGTCCCTTTGGTATTACGGAGATCTCAGCGTTTACTCGACTGGGGTCGTCCCCTTACTGCAGCTGCGCTACAGGTTCATGTACAGAATCTCAAACACCCAGTTTAACAATGTGTCTGTCAGCCCTGGAGTTTCAATTCCACGCCATATCTTGCTTTTCTCTGTCACTTCACCACGTTATTCACGGCTCTTACACGGACACGACCAGCAGCATCGTTTCCCTTCCACTTTTTAAAAAAAGTATGACGATTTTCCGTGAAATAAGTTGAAACTGACAAAAATAATTGGCGTCCAGCATTCCATATTACATATTCCACACAGCAGAGTCTTTGCTTTTGTCATAAATCAATAGGACTCATGTTCTCCATATTCAAAGCACGGCATGTATATATGGTGCCGGCTTCCCTCCATTCTCTGCCTATCTGTCTGACTGTCTTGCCGTTGTTTCCTTTCAGATCATCGTCCATGCGGAGAGACTTGAGCCAGAGGCTGGTCGATGAAGACAGGTGAGCAGCCATTGTTACGGTGAGCTCGGGGTGGCCTGGGTAGTGGCCTGCGTGGGGCGGATCGGAGCCCCAGCTCCGCCATGCTGGAGGATCGCCCTCCTTCCTGTTTCGTCTGCGTTTACTTCCTGCCGTCTTGTAGACGCGTGTGACCCGGCACTGCGCCACCAGTGAGCTTAATTTAACTAAAGTTCACATTCCGTTCATTAAAATAGAACTGCTATCCCGACTTCATTTATAAATAAAAAGCGTTTAACGTGCAGCTGGCTACCGGCTGGATTTAATGTGCAGACAGAATTATGCAAAATTACCGCCGCTCTTGACAAAGACTATACATTAGCCACAGACAATGAGCAACATCACACTTAAACATCAGGGGAAAAACGTATACTTTTATGGTAATATATATTTTTTACTGTTTCTGAAAAATGTGAAGCATTTTGTTAATATTAGCGTTAAGGGAGTGTATTTTTTTTTTTTACTGCGGTATAAAAGTAGGTAATGTAAAATCCCTCGGATGGACATCGCCATGTGGAAAGCCAGAGTGTCGTCCAAGAATTATTAAAGGGAGCGATCCTTCCCTGGGGGAGCTATACCAAGTACTGAAACAGGAGTGCCAGTCCAGAGAGTTCTCTTTGAAAACTTGAATTGTTGATACAGTAGCATTTTCACAAAGGAAAATTGTACCTTTGTAAGTGTATTTAGTTTAGCGCTTAGTGAGTTGACCCACCTTGGCTTATTTACGCCATGTTGTTCGTTTACTAACATGGGAACAAAGTCTTTCCTCCATTTCACAAGACAGTTTGTAGGGGGGGGGGCGCTTTAATGATTAACTGATTGATGTTTATTGATGAATAATGTAGGGTGTTTGTTGAGGTGGCAGGCCTGCGTTCAGCACCAGGACACCTGACGCCTGCTGTTCCCGATGGGGGGGCTCTGGAAGCAACCAATCGCGGCGTTTTCCCTGCGTTGGCTTTATCGCTATGAAATATTCAGCCGTGCCAGTGATTGAATTTGCTAATAAAATCAGAGCTGCCCCCTTGGTGTCGCGTTGCTAAGTTGGCGTAAACACAAGAGGAGGCCGGTCGGACCTGGTCCCGCGGCCCGGTGGCCCATTTCCTGGCCCGGTGGCCCGTTCCCTGGCCTTGCTGGAATTTGATGATCACACTTGCTGATCCTCACATCTCCCGCACTGGGCATCCGGCCTAAACGATGCGGATTTTGTGCCCTTGTTGTTCATGTCGGGGTAATAATGAAATGGTATGGCTTAGCCTGTGCTGCCTTCTAAATGCAGGGCTGTGTTGTGGGTGTGGAGTCTGATGGAGCGTCTTGGCTGCTTTATATAGATGATGATGGCAGTTTGTGACAGTTCTGCCCCAGCAAAGCTGCCCCCAGACCAACCTGCCCCACTCCCACCATGTCTTTCAAAGGAGTCTAAGAATTAGAAACTGGAAAATGACTCAGGGGAGCCTTTATTCCTTAATTCATATATTCAGTCAGTCATTTATTTGTTCATTTGGTCATTCAGTCATTCCATTTTCCATTCATGCATTGTCATTCTTTTGTTCATTCTTTAATTCATCCACTTGTTTGTTCAGTCTTTCATTCATTCAGTCATTTCTTTATTCTTTTAATCATTCCTTCATTCATTCACTCATTCAGTTATCATTTTGTTCATTCGCTGTCATTCTTTCTTTGCCAGTCAGTCCCATTCACTCATCCAGCCATTCCTTTATTCACTCACTCACTCGCGTCAAGGTGCCCCCTGCTGAGTAACCAGTCCTAATTTGCTCCCCAGATGTGCCCAGTGCGGTGGCCAATGCTGGGAGATGAACCCATTAGGAAGGTGCCGCCCCAGCATGTTCATTGCTCATTTGCTTACCGTGGCACATCCACCGCCGGGGCTGTGAAAGCGCTGCCTTCGCCGGGAGCAGATTAGCCGAATTTGCCACGTGGGCCTTGGCACCGGTTCAGGCCGCATGGCCCCTGAGATAATGGCACCATGTCACTCCTGTAATTTAACTTCATGTGAATAATGTGTGTCGCAGCGAGTGTGTCAGGCTGCGTTACATAACGGAGTGCAGCGGGCAGCTGCTCTGTTGGCGCGGTTTGCCGCTCTGCTTCCTGGGTGAGAGGTCATGTGACCAGATTCATTAATTCGGAGGTGCAGCAGCCAAGGGTATAATTGTGACTAACGATCATTTTTTGTGTTTCTTTTCATATCCTTCGACTTGTACTGATGGTGTTGTCATTTTTTTCCCCCAGGTCCTCTATCAATTATAAAGCCTTGAAAGATGAGTGCTTTGTTTAAGCAAAAGTTTGAAGTACTCTAACACTTCGGCCTTCCAGAAACCAGTTTGGTCCAACAGGAAGCTGAAATGCTGTGTTCTGTTTTCCTTTTTTTGTAGGCCATAGTTGATTGTTGACATGCAGCACCCCAACTTGGAGACCAGGCACCCGCTTCAGACAGAAGACCATGAGACTGGATTTGACCCCTTGCAGAACTTCAACAGGGGAAGTGGATGTGAGTAAACCTCAGAGATCTGGTGCTGTCCTTGATCTTCGTACTTCGCAGAGGAATTGAGCTCGAGCTTAGCAACTGTTGACCCAGACCACCTTTGACATTATTCAATGATTGGTTGAGTTGTGCTAATTTACTTTGGAAACAACCGTCACTCTGAATTGTGAAATAATGGAGCATTAAAAATGCATTGGAAGTAGAAGAATGTTGTTAATTTTCTGGGACTTCAGATACCGTGAATGGGGCATTGTTTTCATGTTTAACGTTTGTTTGGTTGAGAGAGTCTGTGTTTCAGTTTATGTAACTTGACAGATTGTTGTTTTAAGGTGGAATTTTGCAAACCACAATAAGATTTATGAAAAAACAAAGCAGCCAAGATTTTTTATGACTTATTCTGTATTTTGAAGGCTATAAATATCTGTGCTGTATGTTACTTGTTGCAGCATGACTTGCTGTCTACGCCTCAGTGTCTGTCTGGACCTCGTTGTGGTAGAATGACTTGTAGGTTTAACAAAGGAAGTTTTGTTTTTGTTATGATAAAGACCAGCTTCTGTGCCTGTGACCGAAAGGTCGCTAGGTTGAATCCCATGTTTGTCAGAGGGGCGACGTCTCTGTTGGACCCTTGGACAAGGCCCTTAGCATCCTGAGAAATGCTCCAGGGTCCAGGATAAACGTCTGACCCTGTGCTCAGACGCCGAGCTTCACTCTCACTCTGTATGTGTGTGTATGTCTTTAAAAAGGAGAGCAAGTTGGTATGTGTGGGGGAAAAAAACACAGTCCGACTTACCTGTTTTCATACATGTACAAATGGAAAATAAAGTTTCATTTCATTTCGTGAGGTGATGTCAGTCTAAAAAGTGCCCTGGACACCGGCTTGGGTTCCAGTTTTCGGTTCCTCTCCGCTGTTTGTCTTCCTGATCGTCTGTGTTTGGAGGCGGTGTGTGGGAGGCGTGTGTGCGGCATCTGAAGATGGGAAGCGCGTCAGACATTGCTCCTGTTCCGCTAGCAAAGACGCTTCCGGTTTTAGCCAGCTGCTAACTGCTGACGTGTCTTATCTGTTAGGCTGAAAGCACAAATCACCTGTCGTAACCTTTTCAGCAGGTCAGCAACTACAATGTGGCACACAGGGCTCTGCCGGTGACCAGAAATGTAGCGATTAGTATAATATCGTAAATATAGCTAAAGTGACTTTTATTTCACGTTATTTATTTTGTTTCCCAAAGCTTGTCACAACTTCTGCTTTTTTGATGCTCATCAAAGGTTTTTTTATACATGCAAAAACTGCGACCTGTTTTAAATTGTGCTGAATTAATTCTCCTTTTGTACTTTTACCCTGGAAAACAGGAGTTTAGGTTTAGGGAAGCATGCGACCTTCTTGCTGTTGGGAGGCCTGGGGTTTGTTTATCAATATGCGTCCTTGACCGTTCTTGTGTTTCTGCATACCCGTTTGACGTCATCTTCCATTGCCGAAGTACAGTTCCAATATTCAAGAACAAAAGTATGCAGAACGCTGAAAAATCCCCAGATGTCATTCTTGCCCAGCCCCAAATATCAAGTATACATCTGTTGCATCCTCCCCAACAAGATCAGTCCCATCGTTCGTGCCCCAAGTTCGTTCTTGGGAGGCAAGTCAGCAAGAGCACTCTTGCTAAGAACACAAGTACGTTCTTCGCGTTCCTGGTGTTGATAAACATCCCTGGCTTCAGCCACATGTTGGACCTGCGGTATTGTGGGACGAGACGGTATAGGAGGACTTGCCCCACGACGATGCAGGCTGTATCTTTCTGTTTACACATTAAAAACATGTATGAACTGCTGAATATCTGCTGACCAGTCAGCGTGTCACTTTTTCGTCTCTAAAACTCCAGTCACCTCTGTGATTCTCCATACTATCAGAACTTTAATATAAGCTGCAGAGCCCCACTTAAATATTGTAGATATTCTTCTAATTCCTGTCGTACACACTGGCTGTACTTTAAACTTTAACAGCACTAGCAAACTTAAACCTGCTGAAGTTGTGGAGGGGAAGCTGTTGGATGAAAGGGGGTCTCAAGTCTAGGTGAGCTGGGATTAACTGTGTTTGGGGTATAATCTCTGGTGCCACATGGCAACGCCTCGGCACATCAGAGACTGTCGTCATGGTGAAGTTTGAACCTGAGGCGGGTCGCCATGGTCACGCTGGACCACATGACCTGAACTGATGATGGGAGCATGTTTCCGGGGAGACTGACAATTATGAGTCATAAACGCGACTTGCAACGTGAGCTAGCAGGAATTAGCACGTCAAGCTCGTGAATATGTATGGGAGACGGTCCCTGGGGGAACGCTCTGCGGCTTGATAGATCGCTCCTGAACTTAAGGGATTCAACACTCCATTTCTGTTCCGGTGCTTTCCGTTGCTGTGTCGATGCATTTCTTACTGGTTGGGTTTAACGCCCCCCCCAACCACCATCAGATCATCTTCAAATAGTTTACGTCACATCTGTTTTCTGTCTTTATGATGCCTGTAAAACGCTGAATTATTGCCACCAGATGGCCCCCATAATACAATAACTTCGCTTATCTTTTTCAACAAAAATGTCGTTGATTTATATACATTGCCGATAAATTATGTCCTGCATATACGCGTGATGTATTATGTGCTGAGCATGTAAATATTCAGTTATTCATAAATCTGCGAGAATGGCTTCTTTTTGAAATCGTGCGTCTTTATTCGTTACAAAGAAATACTGCTTCGCCAGTGAGGGTTTATTTGCCAAGACCAAAAAATATAACGATATAGTTTGTATTACAAGTCACTGCATGAGTCATTCATGGTCTGTTTTTAACAAGCCGTCTCCCCAACTTCTTACCTACCAGTTTGCTTTCAGAATTAAAAAAGAGCAATTTAAAAAGATGTTCTTTTTTAAAATGTTAAAAGTTTAAGCATCAGTGGAAGAGTAGCAGCAATGCAAGACAACAGACTAGAGGCTCATCATTTTTATTCTGTCTTCCTGTCCTTGAAAACAAGCGGAGTTGTGCCCGTTAGCTCTCCAAATGGTCCGGGATCTTGGTTTTCTGTCTGAGTCTTTGTTTTAACCCAGGGACGTGAATATTTCTGGCAAAATTAGTGACTCCACCCAAGCCTCCCTTTCCCATGTGCGGGTGATCTTCTCCTTGAAAACTTTCGACACGCCACCTCGGATCCATTATAATCTCCTGCTCCTGAGATCATACTAACCATAGCCTTTACAAAAAAAACCTGTTGTATACAGTGCCCCCTAATGGTAGGATGATGTAATTGAAATCTTCCTCAACCCATAAATCAATCAATGAGGGGGAAAATAGGCAAGCATGACCTTTTTTTCCTGTAAAATTTTAAGTGCCTTGCGGCTGGGGATTTTCAACAGATCTGTCATAAATATTTTTATCTTTAAAAAAAAAAATCCCTTCCAGCGAAACGCATTGGCCGCTGAGCAGAGAGCGAAACTCTTATTTCAAATTCGTCTGGCTGATGTAGGTGTATAACTAGCAGAGGGCCCTGGAGGAGCTGTGAAAGCTGTTTGCTGAGATGAAGTGACGTATCAGGGCTCGAAGAATGCAGCCGGAATGGAGCGGAGGATGACCGTGACAGAGCCTGGTCCTCCTGGGTCCTACAGCGCTGTAAATACTGCCTGGGCCCTAAAGAAGCAGCCCCTCCGACATTAGGGCCCCAGAAGCCTCTCGTGTGCCTTAACCTTTCAGCTCCTGAAGTTGCTCTGGATAATCCAGCATTTCTCCCTTTTCTGAAGAGTGAATTATTTTCTCAGTCTGGCTGGATCCTCAACATCATGTCCCAGAAATGTAACTTTAATGGGACTTGAAATTTTCTAATGATATAAGCATCCCTTTTTGTCTCTGGCTTTTCCTTTTGGTCATTGTCTTCTGTAAATAAGGCGTATGGCCCCAGTAGGCTAGGGAAGGTTGTGGGTTCGAATCCAGTGCCCAGCAGAGTAATCGTGTACTCCCTAACTGCATTCTGCTCCAGGAGAGATGGATGCTGGCTGACCTTGATCTCTGACCCTCACTTTGGACAAGAGTATCTTGTAAATAAGTGTAAATGAATACCAGGTAACCTGTAAGTGACTCTCTGCAGATCAGTTCAGCTTCAGACTCCTGAATAGACATGCTTATATTTTTCATATAAGCACCTTTTGCGGAGGGCCTCCCCGATGCCTCAGGTCTCCGTGTGCATGTAGACGTTCCTGACACGATGGCCCGCTGTATTGATGGTCTGTATCTGTGTGTCTCAGATGGAATGCTGGACAGCGTGTCGTCTGCACCATCCTCAGAGGTGGAGTCCACCTTCCTGTCATACAGGTAAGAAGCTCAACGGCGCCCCCTAATTCCAAATATAATTTTTTTTCTTCTCCCCAGAGATCCCGTGAAATTACAATTTCCTCGCCGGGGGTGGGGGGTGTGTTGCTTGTGAACTTCAGGTGTCAGCTTGCTGCACCATTCAGTGTTTGGTAGCAGGGCGTGGGGCCATCGGATTAAAGTAACTGCATGTTTTGCCGCTGGGGGGGAGTCCCCGCTGCGGTCAGCCCCATCACTCTCTCCCTCCTTCCTTTTAATTTTCTTAATCACCAAGCAAGATGCGGTTTTGCCGTCTGAAAATGTCAGGCACACACCCCACTTCCCACACGGCAGACAGAAAAAACGCGCACGTGTGTGTGTGTGTGTGTGTGTGTCAAAGGAGAAGAGTGTTTACTTGTAATTATTACATTGTGGGCACTAGATTTCTCCACAATGTGATAAAAACCTGTAATTTTTTACCTTGTGGCTACTTTTTTTTGGTCCCCACAAGGATGACCTCAATTTTTTTTAAATCTGTGACAGTGCCTTGTACAGTATGTTGTTTGGTTAGTGCCTGTTAGGGGTTAAAGTTGTCATAGTTGGGATATAGGGTTAGGGTTATCTATGGAGAGTCCCCACAAAGGTATGAATACATGCAGGTGCATGCATATGTCTGTGTTCTTATCTTGGTTTAAAATTATGAGTCATACTGTTCTACCTACTGCTGGCCCATGATAATCGTCACCCTTCCTGTGAGTGACCTACAGGGGGCAGCAGAGGCACAGTCCTCTGGGGACTAAACATGTCCCCTAAACAGATAAAAGCTGGTCTCTGGCGTGTCCCCCAGTCGCCATGCGACACGCTGGCATTGCCTACTGGAACAGGACCCTCAGCAATATGTATCTCGGCCGCCCCCTGGCTCCCAAATCCCTTTTAACACCCTGAACTGGATCACAGACGTACCTCAAGCAGTCAAAGCCAAATAATGACGGTGTAGGTCCTGTGTAACTGACCTGGACTAGCAGGGAGCAGCGTGTTTTGAGTATAAACGGTCTGCATGTGAAGTTTAGCCAGCCTTCCTGCATGGTTCTCCACTATCTTTATTTTGGTATTGGTCTATATTAATCATATGAACTTTTCTATATAGGTGTAGTGTGTGTGTCCAGCCTGGCGGCGCTGGATAAGCTGTTTATTTGTGCTGATGAAGCAGGTACGCCGTTAGTGCAGGTGTTTCCATCCCCACTGCGGTAAACAGACATGTCTGCAGAGAGGACCATCACACTGCCTGATTTCCCCCGGGCTCAGAAATTCACTGAACTTTACCTGTCAGCACAACTGAGCTTCTCCATCAGTCATTCCCCCCCACCCAGCCAAGCGGAGCTCCTGACACGGCATGGCGATGGCAAATGACCTGCGAGAGGCCCACGGGGGGGCGCAGCAATGGGGGCGTCGGGGCCATGGTGCCAATGGGGAGTTCATCTGGACCACAGCTGTCACTGCGGGCCTCACAGGGACCTGTGTGTGTGTGTGTGTTTGGACCAGGCCACACTTAAGCCATTACCACGCCACCTCATGCTGAGTAATTTCATCAACCACCGAAAGTTCTCACCGGTTGCGGTCCTCTTTAATTAATCGCTGAGGGTCTTTCGAGGTGCACGTGTGCAAATCCAGGTGTTACACCAATCTGTGCGCAGAGTAAGCGGATATCTCTCACAGGCTAATTTACTCTGGTACCCCTGTCGCGCCCGCATGCTTGCAGACTAACAGAAGCTTCCAGATGCCCAGCACCCAGCCCTTTGCAGTTGCGTGTCCACGTGCCGAACACGTGTGCACCATCTCCTTGCAGGAACCTGCCTCGGTTGCCACCTAAGGAGCAGGCCTGCACCTCGTAAGCTGGGCTGGGTGGTGTCGCCACTGATGAGCTTCTGTGTGGGTGTAATTGGCGAAAGGCAGACATGCTGAGCTGTGAAGACTGTAGGGTGTTAGCGCTTGGTGACACCTGTATGGTGCCCCGACAGGAGACAGACCTTCCTGCATGCTGACGTAGCCCCAAAAAACAAATACAGCTTCAGATTGCGAGTAACTTGGTCTGCGAGTGTTCTGCAAGACGAGTAAATTTTTTTAAATAAATTTTAACTTGATAAACGAGTGAGGTCTCGCAATACGAGTATTACATATACGCTTTATCTGCCGAGCATCACAACTGAGCTGATGGTTCTTCTCTCTCTCTCGCTGCGGAATTGTGGGCAATCGTTTCCGAAGCATGGTCTCAGTCGGTGTCTCACTCGTATAGTCAAAATTTAGTAGAAAAGCACCACCCGAATAAGGGTGTAGCAGTGCGAGCGATGAATCTGTTTAACGACAGTGCAATGTCCACATTTCCGTGAAATCGAAAAGGAGGCAAAAGCGGCTGTCATTGGATAGGTTCCTTGTCAAAGTCGCACAAAAAGAAAAAGATTCCAGTGAGCCAACAGATATCAGTGATTCCGATGGTTATAATGAAAGTCTTCCTGCAAAATAACCCTCCTCTTCTCCTCTCTCTCGTCTCCCTCACACCATCCACAATTATTTTCAAAGGTAAAGTGCAGGTTAATTTGTTTTATGTATTTTTACTTTATTTTTTGTATTAATCATTTTTATATGAATGTTTTTGGGTTGTGGAACGAATCATCTGAGTTTCCATTATTTCTGATGGGAAAATTTGCTTTGATATACGAGTGCTTTGGATTACGAGCACGTTTCCAAAATGAATTATGCTCGCAATCCGAAGTTTTACTGTACCTGTTTATCAGGGTCCTTTCGAGTAAGGAGGGGTGTGGTTCATTAGGTTAGGCCTCTGTGTCTGTGATCGGAAGGTTAGAGATTGGAATTCCGTCCTCGGCAGAATAGTCACGTATGTCGGACCCTTGAATAAGGCCCTAACCCTCCAAGTTTCTCCAGGAATGACTTTGTTTTCTGACCTTGAGTTTCGCTCTCACTGTGTGTGTGTGTGTGTGTGTGTGTGAGAGAGAGAGAGTGAGTGAGTGAGTGAGTGAAAGGAGAAGAGACCTTCATGGGATACGCAAAAACAAAATTCAATTCAATTTATTTTTATATAGCGCCTTTACATGGGTGTGTTGTGATATGTTACAACATAGTTAAGACAGAATAGTACAAAAACAGGGAAAAGGGAAGACAAAGAAATGAAAGACAGAAAGTCCGATGACAGGGGAGGAGAGGAGAGGAACCAAAAACTCCCAAGTAGGGAGGGAAAAAAAACTTCTGGGGGTCCAAGGAGGACTGGCTGCCCAGCCCTAACCCCCCCCCCCCACTATTGAAAGAGAATTAGGTAGCTTGCTCGCTTGTTAAAAGCAAGATATAAACTGTGATCAAGAATTCCGGTGTGCCTGTATTTGTGCAAATTAGATGATAAAGCATCATTTCAGTTTTCATTTTGTTTCAAAACGGCAGGCAGATTTTTCATCCCCTCATGTAGGTACAAGCGACGCCGACGGCCCCCTTCCTGACCGCTCCGATCTCCTTCTCTCCGCAGAAAAGAATGGGACGAGTTATTTTCGAACAGCAACTACCTGGCGAGGATCCGGCAGGCCGGGATTAACGGGAGGCTGAGGAGCAGCAGGTTCCGGAGCATGTGCTGGAAGGTGAGGCACTGCCGGCGCGGCAGCCACAAAGGAGCAGAGCCCGTTTGTGCTAATCCCACATCTGGCAGGAGCGGCCCTTTGTCTCCCGCGAAATCCGCGCACGTCTCTAGTCGCGTGTCCTCCCTGCTTGTCCGTACGCTACATATTCTGAATCCTACGATGGCTTTCCTCTGAAATGCCGGATCTGGGCAGTTCCCATCTCGCACGTTTCTTTGCCATTAACCCAGGAAGAACTTTACGTTCAGATATTCAACCGTCCAGTCTTTTGCTTGGTCCCGGTCCAATGTTTGGAAACCATTTCCTCCTGCCTTAGTATTCTGGTGTGTGCATACTCTGTAAATAAATTATAGCGTAACAGTTGTGTATATTTATATATTTGATTGCTGTGATGTGATCTTTGTTTAGAGTTTATAAGCAAATAGAGCTTCCGGTGTTGAACTATATTATATCGAGTAGAATGAATTATTGACGCCTTCTCATGATAATGATGCAGAATGCAGAGTGGGCTGTGGGCAGTTTCCGACTTTTCATGGGGGGAGATGCCTACACTGAGCTAGGAAGGCCTTTTGGGTTCCTCTTCTCAGAGGATGGGAGTTGGCACATTCAGCTCAAGAAAAGCGGCCTATGACTTAAGAGAGGATCACCGTGGGTAGGGGGTATCCGACGGCGTCGTTTGCACGCCGCACAACCTCTGCCCATCTTCCTTTGAAGGTCAGGTGTGGAAGATCGTCACGGGTGTGCTTTCCCATTCCAGCTTTATCTGGACGTCCTTCCTGAGGACAAGAATCAGTGGATCAACAAGACAAAGGAGCTGCGAGCTCAGTACGAGAAGATTAAAGAAACGGTGAGTGTGTCCAGAGGTCGTCTGGTGTCGGTCCTCATGGCTGAAGAGTTGAATTATTGTCTAATTTCTCGCTGACCTCTCACAGCATATAACCAACCCACGCAAAGCTGCGGGACAGCAAGACCTCGTGGTGAACAACCCATTATCACAGGACGAGGGTGTGAGTCCTTCTCCCCGTTTCCGTCCTCTTCCCTGTACCGTGTGCTCTCTCACTCATATTCCCTCGTTTGTCTTTCTTTATTAGTCTTCTCACCTTCTCAAGCCACCCCGTTGAACCTTTTCTATGCCCTCCTCCAGCGTCAGAATTCCCTGCCCTGTTTTTCGCTGCCTACAGCGGCCGTGTACCCCACCACCAAAACAACGTATTTGCATAAACAAACACGATCCTTATTTAGGAGACGCTGAGGCAGCATGTTCTGCTAACCAGCTAGCTAGCTACAATCTTCTGACTCTGCTTGCTAGAGATATTTTTAGTTTTTGAAACATCTGAGGTGGCCCCAAAGTAAGTTTTTGAGCGGGGCCCTAGAAAGCAATAAACCCGTTTCCTTAGTCCTTAGTCCGGTCCTTAGTCTCAGACCAGCTCGTCTTTTTAAAGGTGCAAATGCAACTTTGGCAGTCAGTCAGGTGGACGACAAATCGCATAAATCTCAGTGGCAGCAGTGTTCCAGGCTCGGTGCGGCCTGGAGCCGTAGAAGATGCCGAACCTAACTGGCATCTCTCCCACCACGTGTGGGCGCCTTTCTCAAGCTGCCAAAATGCGTACGAATTTCAAACCGCACTAAAGTTGGTGGGGGGGGGGGGCGGGGGGCACAGTCACTCTGTCTGTCTGGTGCTATATTTAACCGGCTGATGACTTTGAACATCTTTGCAGAGCCTTTGGAACAAATTCTTCCAAGATAAAGAGCTTAGAGGGATGATCAAGCAAGATGTGCTGAGGACGTAAGTGCGAAATCGACACTGTTTCCAGGCTTCGAGTAACAAAGCGGTAAGATTAGCCAAGGCGGCACGCCGCTCTCGCCGAAGCGATCGGAGTCTCGCGGCATGCGCCGACCGCCTCTTCCCGCGTGCCGTGGTCAAAGGCGCGAGCTAGTTATCTGGCGGGTTTCCCAAGAGAAAGGCCAACAATTCTGGAATTTCCCGACTCCCTTAGCCGTCGTGCTGATGCCAGCGCCTTGTATACCTTGCTTAGCCTTCCAGGATGAGCGGGTCCGCTTAGTCATTCCCATCTCTACGGCGTTCTGCCCGCTCCAGGTTCCCGGAGATGCAGTACTTCCAGCAGGAGGACGTGAGAACCAAGCTGACAGACATCCTGTTTTGCTACGCGCGAGAAAACGAACAATTACTCTACAAGCAGGTCAGAGACGCCCCGCCGTCCCAGGAATAATGAATAATGGAGGGCCGTCTCCGCTCATTACTGCCGCAGTGAGACGGCAGCTCCTTTCCGTGAGGATGAACACGGATTACAGCGCAGGCTGCAGGATACACCAGCCGCCTCAGTCTGGCCCATCCATCGATTTCTGTACTCATTACGTTTATTTAGTGGATGCTTTTATCTAAAGCGACGTACAAGTGAGGAGAGCAGGGTCCTTGGGGTAATTGGGGTTAAGGGCCACGACTCAAGGACCCAACGCTGAAATGAGGACTCTGCCAGTCGCATGATTTGAACCTGTGACCTTCCAGATACGGGCTTGGATCTCTAGCCAGCTGAGCTGGAGTTAACGTGATAAACATGAGCACTGTGTGTCCCCGTCTTTATTCCCGCTACTTAAGCGATCCTTAACATTATCAAGACTGAGCTGTCGTTAAGGATTGAGTAATCGGCTGCCTCTTCCATGGTTTCCTGCAGCCCATGAAACAGTTTCCTGTATTCAGCTGTCAGGGTCAGACGCCGCAGGATAGAGCTTTGGGGTTCAGCTGAACTTGTGCAGCTAATGGACTTTAGCCACAAGGACTTTAGCTTTGCGTGCGACTGCTTCAGACGTTACGTGTTGTGTCGAGCAGTGTGCCAGGTATTTGGTGTTCTTGATTGCTTGATTGATTGGTTGAGGTGTACTTTACACTTTAGCCCAGCCAGCCGTCTGGTAGGAGCCTGGATCTCTAGGGTGCTTAGAAATGTGCGTGTTCCCACTCGAGGTTCTCGTCCTCTCCTGCAGGGCATGCACGAGCTGCTGGCCCCCATCGTGTTCATCCTGCACTCGGACCATCAGGCCTTCCAGCACGCCAGTGAGACTGCGTGCCCCAGGTCTGTGCCTGCTTCTGGTCTGATCCGGTCCAGTCCAGTATTTTCATGCTCCTTGTAATGTATAGATAGGATGTATAGGAAACTGGTTGGTGTATAAGAACTGTCCTAGTGGAATATACCAGGTCTTGTCTTGATGAGACTCGCATGGTGTAGGTGGCTATGATCTGGTTCTTATGTCAGTAAAAGAGTGCGTTACTGACTCGTGTTCAATTCGCAGTGAGGAGATGAGGTCCCTGTTGAACCCGCAGTTCCATGAACATGACGCTTAGTAAGTGAACAAGTGAAATTCAGTAACGTGATGTTTACCTTTTGCTGTAACCGCGAGCAACTGTGACACCAGCCTGTCCCTCTCCCCCACAGTGCCATGTTCTCTCAGCTCATGGAGACAGCTGAGCCCTGGTTCTCCAGCTACGAGCGAGAAGTCCGCAAGGTGAGTGGAGCCCCCCCCCCCCAAGACTTTTGATTGTTAACCTGTCGTAAATTTAGGGGGGGAAAGTCATCTTCATTTTCTGCACTGTGAATTTTCATTTATTCTGTTAATCTCTAGTTTTTATGTCAAAAAACTTTCTTTTTTCAATTTGCTCAGTATACCGAGGGAAAAAAAAAAAAAAAAAAAACCTCTGTGGTGAAAATGTCAGGAAAAATAGGTACCTCAGCTCGTTTATAATTAAAGTAATTTTCCGATCAATTAAATGGTTTAAATGCAGATTAATCGGTAGATAGTTTGTTACCGGGGTTTCTGCAGTGCTGGCACTTAAGGGAATACCGCCGATCCGAGGGATCTGGTTAAGCAGATGTGCAGTGGGTACCGTAGTGCTTAAGGAAACGGGCTCAATGCATGCTGGGAAGGATTCGTTACTGTGCCGCTGAGCAGGTGCCTCAGCTCAGTGATGCATCCAGATGTACCGATGGCTAATTGCAAAAACAAAAACAGCCCGATATATTAATTAATAGTAATAATTAATAGTAACCCTCCCAACCTTTGATTGTTTGTTTCATATAGATATATTTTTTTTTTCTTGGTTGAGTCTGAAGCGGATAGAAAGCGACTTTACAACATCGCCGCAAGCTTTTAAACTAGCGCTGCCGTGGTTTTCACTTGGCAGGAGACGACTCACTAAGTTGCACTTAGCTAGTTGCTCCTGGCGAAAGCGAACTACGGGTGTTTTTTGGTTTTTTTGCGCTGACATCCCGGAGAGCTCGCCATCGTGAACATTAACAGGCTTTCCATGTTTAATATTTAACATTTCCGCCAGCCATTTTGTCTCCCTCCAAAGCTTGCTTTTCCAGGCTGGATACCATACGCAGAAAAGTGTTCATTCGTCTTCAGGGGGAAAAAACATTCTTTAGAAAGCAGTTTCTCTGAACGTTTTACTTAAAATTAGCTTAAAGCCACTTCTCAATGAACAGCCTCGTTGACTTAGGTAATTCTGAGTCTCAGATTTAGGGCATGCTCACTCTCTGCAGGTACTTACTGTTGACTTGTGAAATGTTCCTTTTTTTTATTTTATTTTAAATCCCCTCTCCGCCAGGGTAAGGAGGAGATGATGACCAGCATGCCCTTTGCCAGACCACAGGATGCAGGCCCGTCTGTCGCCATAGTGACAAAGGTCAACCGCATCCAGGACCAGCTCCTGAAGAAGCATGACATTGAGCTGTATATGCACCTTAACCGGCTGGAGATCGCCCCACAGATCTATGGGATGTGAGTGTGGTCCTACTGTTGTCCTATACAGCAGGTATAGGACAAACTGCTCAGTCGCATGTTTACCCAAAGTTTAAATATTTAACAGATGCTTTGACATACATGTGAGGATTACAGAGCAGGATCAGCCAGTCCCTGGAGCAACTGGGGTTAAGGGCCTTGATCAAGGACCTAACATTGGCATAACTTTGCAGGCGTGGGTGTTGAACCAGCAACCTTCTGATCGAAGATCTCGCTGCACCATCCCCTAATAAGCCCTAGATGCCATAATAAGCTTGTAGACGTTTGCTGCATATTTAATCCCCATGTTTAACTAGCATCTGGAACTCAAACTTCATAACCAAATGCTTAGACTGTAAGCAGTCGTATAATAGTTGGGGGAATTAGTCAGGGTTCCCTTTTAACAGCGGCTTCCTGTTCTCCTTTAATTCGGGGGAGGGGAGGGGTTCTTTCTCTAAGCCCGTGTCATCACACGTTACGCTCCGGGGCCCTGAAACCGCAGCCTTCGCAGAAGCAGCCCGGGTGGCAGGAAAGCGAAAGCGAAAGCAGCCTGCGCTGGCCGCATTTTTACATCTCAAAGCTGTTATTTCCAGGCACGAGGTGCAATATAAACACTGTTGCTTTCGGGTGACTGAAAACCAGCCTTCGCCCTGGTACTCCTCCTTTGAATTGCGGCGGAGCCATCGTTTCATGAGCCCTAACCTACGCCAGACTGATTCCAGTCCCCGGTACATATCTAATTGTAATTGAAATGCGTGTTTCGCACTAAGTGGCGTGAACATGCACACGTTTTCACATGCAACTCGACGCATGATGTAATGTGACACCTGCCCTCAGGAGGGCACTCTGATTTTTCACCTTTCAGTTCACCGCAAAGTGATTCTGCTCCGCCGGGGACCTCTGAGACCCCCTGGGGGGGCCACACGGGGCTGACAGGGATGAGGAGAGGCTAATGGCTCGCTGGTGACACCGGCACGTCCGTCACCGTTTGGCTAATTGCCACAACACTATCTCCTGTGTTACTCATCAGCCTCTCACGGCATGCCACACTAATTGGAATAATGAGGAAGTGGATCAGGCCCATGAACATCTCACCCAGAGGAGCGTTCATCTCAGACCCAGACCTCTCCCCCTCTTCAACTCCTTTGTCTCTTTTTGCCCCGCCCCCGGCCCCCCTCCCCACCGTAACTGTTCAGCTCGATGGAGACCCCCTTTGGGTAATTAACAGAACAGCTCGTTGGCCAGTACAGTATTGGTCGGTGGGTTTTGTGTGACACTGTGCTGCGTTTCACGGGGGTGGGTTCATTGTTTTTACTGAACCCCCCCCCCCACAGTCTGACTCCTTCAGATTTTCCAAAAACTAAGTAGGTAATGCGAAGATCGTAGCTAGTTGGCCTACTAGCTAGTTAGCATCTCCTGAATAAGGAATATGTTTGTTTAATGCTGAGTGCAGTGACGAGTTGTGGCCAGTGCTTGTTCTGAGTGGTAAACATGGCCGCCGAACATATGCAGTGCAGGCCGTCTCACTGCACGGCTCCCTCAACTGTAAGCATGATTTACTCAGCCACCGAAGGCTTTGTTTTGGTGACCGTTTCCTTGCAGCGTAAACAGTGGATCCATGTCGGGCCACTGTCATCTTGGGTGACGGAAGCATTATTAGTCTGGATGCTCTCTCCTTTCTTATGATGTTCATCCTGCTCTCAAATGATAGCAAAGCCAATCAGGGGCCAGATTAAATGCGCAGTCTGACACAAATCATGCAGACCTCTCACCTGGAGTCCTGCTTTATTCCACGGAGATTTTTATAAGCAGTGATTTGTAATGATCATAATCCTTCACGACAAACTAACTTTCTCAACTCGTAGCTGTAAGAAATTACATCTAAGAATAAAGATGTGCTTACAAGTTTATTTAAACTTTTTATGAAGCTATGAACTATCTAGTTTCAGAACTGATGGTTTTTTTTTTTTTTTTGGAAGTTTTGGAGAAAGTTTTGGATTTAAAAAAATGGGCAGTAAAATAAATTCTGTCTGAGAATATCTCCTCTGTGTTTGAGGCCAACTTTCCTCCTCTTTTCTTTCTTTATTCCTCCCCCGCTTGCGCATGTCTTTGTTCTGCTCTGGTCAGCATCATGCGTTTGGTCCGTCCTTGTGGGGCCCATCGGTGCCTCGCATGGGAGTTCAAGTGGCTGGGCTGGGACACCCATGCAGACCGGCAACGGAGGGGCGGTGGGGTCCGGTTTGGCCGGTCGGGCCGCAGAGGGTCTCACAGCTACACGCTTTCTGGGGACGGCATTGTCCGAGAAGCCCTATTCCTCGGGAGAAGGGAGAGTATTAAACCTGAGCATGCTGTCGAGGGGGGGTGGGGGGGGGTGGTTTGGATTCGACAGGGCCAGAGATTGGAAGAGAGATGGAGAGAAAGTTATCGCTGGCCCCAGACGTGCCTGGGGAAGTGCGAAATCTCAGACATGAGGCATTTTGGAGCGGGAAGGAAGAGCAGCGTTCCACAGGGAGGCTGCGGGGGCCGGCCGGCCGGGCGGGCGGGCAGGCGAGCGGCGTTCCGAAGCGTGCCGTGTGCCGTGTGCCGTGGGCGGGAAGCCGGGGCCGTCTCGCCGGACGTGCCTGTCAGGTGATGCCCAGTCCTCGCTCCTGCCGCCACATTCCCCGGCTGGTGTTCATCTCCAGGAGCCCTGTGCTGCGGCCCGGATCTGAGGAAGCGCGCGTCTCCGCATGGCCAGCGCTGGCATCTGAGCTGCTGAAAGCGCTTCCTTTGTCTCAAGGCTTTGCCGGCTCGCAGACCCATGCTCGTGCCCGGAGGTCCTCTCCCTTCCGTCTGTGTCCCCCCCCCCCCCGCGCCCCTCTCCGCCATCGTGGTCCTGAGCGCTTTTGAAAAGCCGCGCTAAACCTCGCTGTGACTAGACAACAGTGACAAGGTGACCCGGATATGACCCCCGTGCTGCCGGTCGCCGTACTGACACGGGCCGGGTCCCCCCCCAACCCCCCCCCCGGCTTAGTTGAGGCCCAGGAACTGGCTATCTGATAGGACTTTTATTTAAACCTTTCTTCAAAATGCATAACATTAATTATGCAATAATTTTACTAACAAATAATAAAAAAAAAAATCATAAGAATGGAAACTGAGTCATGCCTGGGATTACATAAAGGTTGAATATCCCCTGTAGCAGATGCTTATTTAACTAAATGTATTTTCTCCAAAGTCGCAGCCTCCCACTAGCTGGGATGTGAAGGATCTGGTATTTATTGCCGACCGTCCCATCTGCTCTCCCCCCCCCCCACAGCCGGTGGGTGCGCCTGCTGTTTGGCCGCGAGTTTCCCCTGCAGGACCTCTTGGTGGTTTGGGACGCCCTGTTCGCCGACAGCATCACCCTGGACCTGGTCGACTACGTTTTTGTGGCCATGCTGCTGTACATCAGAGACGCCTGTGAGTTCGAGTTCAAACCTCCGCCCGACCCTTCAAATCCGAGCTGTGATGGTCTTGCGTTGCCGTCGCTTTCACATCGGGCTCTTTCTTGACTTAGTGGAGCATGCCCACTGGCTACAGCGAAGTGGGATTTGACACTTTTTATTCTAAAACTGAATGGAACATTTTTCTCATCTGTTAATTTTTTGCTGTTGAGTCTCTGTGCTGAAAGTGTGAGAACTGCACCACCTATTGGCCAGATGTGGTGTTTTAATTTTATTTTTTTCTCTTTATTAATTGTAACATCCATCTCCCAAACCGTTTATTTAGTATAGGGTCACTGTGAGACACGCTGGACGGGATGCTAATCCATCACAGCACACAGTCATATTCATACCACCACACACCAATTTAGGGACACGGGTTCACCGAATCTGGATTGTTAGCTTATGGGGGTAAACTAGAGTGAGAATGCTGAGAAAACCACTAACCCGGAACACAAAAATGGATCCAGGGGTGGGGGGATTCAAACCCACATCCCTCTGAGCCTCTGAGGTACCGTGTGTGTAGGGCCGTGATATGCAGGGTTAGGCAGATCCGCAAGCTTGCATCCGGAGTCATTAGCCGGCGAAATCGGTGACTGTGGTGAGCTCTGCCCCTCTGCTGCTGAATTATCACACTCTCCCAAAACCCATAAAAGACATGCGGCCCCAAAGATAAGGAAGTCAGCCATGTTTGATTGGTACTGCTCGGGATGGGGGGGTGGGGATTTTGTTAGTTTAATTCCTCACTCGCTTCGTTTGATGGATCGCAGTTTGTTCCCGGTGATTGATTCATCAGTCTTTGGAAGATAACCCTGCAGAAGTGTTATCTGTGACTGATTACGCGGCCTGTAGCAGACGGCCCCACGTATTGTTTGACGGGCTCGCCGTCACAGATGGCTCCGGAACCCCCCCCCCGGATAAAATGTTGTGTCATCGCGGCTTTTATGTGCAGTTTATTAGGGTTTGAAGTAGCTGAGGAAGTTAAAGGTGAGAAACCAGACAACATGGGAGTTTGATAGTGGACACACACACACACACACACACACACACACGGTGCACCGGAAATGTCATACACAGACTTTCACTAGACATCTACCACTCGCCTGTTAATGTAGTAGGTAGTGAATGTACCCTAGTGGCCAAAATTGTGGAAATATTTCCAATTTTTAGAACTTTATTCAACCATTGCTCCTGTTACTCTTTTGATCATCCAGTGCATGAAATTTGTAGTATTCTTTATCTATAAACGTTACCGCTAATATTAAGTGTAGTCATTTTTAAAGCGTAATGCCAAAAAAGCACGGTACTTCCGCAATGTTGGCCACTGGTATGTGCATGAGAACGGTGTGCAGGCGCTCAGACGTGCTGCAGTCGCATTTGCTCATCCACAGATGTTTGCCATTGATGTAGCTTGATCACCGCAGAAGTTAAAAGCTGTTATTAAAAGAACTGTCAGCAAAAAAAGAAATACCTGTCAGAGTCAACTTATGTACCTAGCTATTGTTTTCTACTTAACCTGGTGTTTCTGCTTCCTTTGCCATCTTGAGTTCTTCGTCTCCGGGAGCGGGTCCAGTGACCTTCTGGAATAATGTAGCATCCAGTCGGTTGCACACTTCAGAATTTCGCAGAATGTAGTATGTCATCCAGGTTCTGTTCACCTACTGAGTTTTCAGACATACTGCATACTATATTTCACCTACTACATAGCAAACAAGTATGCGATTTCCGACATTCCCACAGTAAACTAAGTATGCTATCTAGCCCAGGGAGCTGTCATGGGTTATCATCCCGATCCAGCTTTTATATAGTTCAGCTTTCATTCACCTACACAAAGGACATGCCCAGGTTGTTCTGTCCTCAGTGATCCAGCTCTTACAATTACTGGAGTCCTTATGTCGGTTCTTTATTTATGGCTGTGAATGAATGTTGCGGCAATCGGCTCTTTGACCTTTGTGTGTTTCCCAGTAATTGCCAGTAACTTCCAGACGTGCCTGGGCTTGCTCATGCACTACCCACCGATTGGGGACGTCCATGCCCTGCTGCATAAAGCGCTCTTCCTGCGTGACCCCAAGGTACGGCTCCTAAACAGATGCCAGCCCCGCTCCGCTTACCCCCCACCCACCCAGTGAATCTAATGAGAGCATTTTTACCAACTCAGTCATGATGTCATGGTGATGTCGCTATGATGTCACTGTTGATTTGGGCTCAGTGTGCATCCTCAAATGTGAGGCAGCCAACAAAGCAGCTCATTTGGGTGCTGAGTCAGGTATCAAGGTCTGGGTGCTTATAATGGGGGAGACAAGGATTGGGAATAAGACAAATTGATCTGATTGGTTGTGGGTGTCATGTAACTTCCACTCCCCCAATCTCATAGGTTATTTGGCTTTGAGACTCACCATGTTCTCATGCCAGCGTCCCAAAGTGACATCATAAATTTTTCAGTGCCGTTTCTTCTCCTGTATCCAGGATGAGAAATGCAAGGTTGATCCTTAAGGAAGAATCTGCAATCATGAAATTCATGAAGGAATCATCATGTTGGGGAATCCCCTCACAGGAAAGCATCCTTCTCAAAAGCACACTTTCATTTAAAAAAATTCTCTTTTTTTTTGAACAAGGCAGGTGCTCCTGAATATTCATTTTTTTGTGGAAAGGTCATTAGTAGTTTGAGGTGGATTTTAATGGCTGAAAATGCTGAATGCGTGTCAGTCATTGCGTGTATTTAACGGACTGATGCCTGCTAGTGAATTTTCATGAGGAAGATACCCGTACTGTATGCCAGTAGCAGATTGGACAAAGGGGGAGTAGGCAGAGTCGAGTGGTGTTGTCTTCGGATTGGCCAGCGCTTCATCTCATGATTATTCATGAGGTACCATCACTGCTGTGTAATTGGCTTGCTTCCATAACACTTAGTGCTGACTTGGGAGGTGGTGGTGCAGGTGGGGGGGGGGGGACCAATTGCGTGATGTAGGTGATCCAGACACAACTAATCGACCTCAGATGAGTGTCTTTTGTTTTTCCGCCTATGGGGGCTTTTCAGCACGTCCTTGGGTGGAAGCGCTTATGCCGCTGCTCCGTGCTCCACCCATTTTGGGCAGAAATGCCACAGGGCGCTGCCACGTGGTTTGAGCCTCTGTAAGTAAAGGCCGAGTTTTCAGTCCACCTCCTTCCCTCGTGAGCAGGATTGGTTCGGGACGGAAATGGGTTCTGATGTTTTATATATTAATGGTTAGGTCATCATTTAAATCATCTTTGGCTGAATATGAATATAATGCAGATGAATTGCCGTATGGATCCCTGATCACTGCGGGGGGTTTGGGGCGGTTGCGCAGCCATGCTAATGAGTGCCCATAACAGGCCGTGCTCGCTGGCCCGGCTTCACACGCCCGCATCGCCAGGTCGATATTAACACTGACACATCTCCCTGTTAATTGCTAATTGTGTTTCTCATTAAGCGCGAGTGTGGCAGGTGGCTTTAACGCTTTGTGAGTAGCCCCCCACCCCCCAGTGTCCTCCTGCGACTTCCTGTCTAGAGGCAGAGGTCCTCCTGGGTTTCAGGCTTCCGTGTTTCTGATTCAGCCCCCCCCACCCCAAGCCCCACCTCACCCCCAAGGGAGCAACTTGTTCATGCTGCACTTTGGGACACCCTCCACCCTTAAAGTTGTGGGAACTCAAAGGGAAATCTGCATGCATAAGGCCTTAGATGGGATGAATGGGCCAAAACTACTGGCTTTGTCTACGTAGAGTGTAGCATATGGCCCCTACTGACCCTGTATATCACCTTTCCCCTCGTTCAGTCCAGCCGTGCCCCCGTGTGATGTCCCGACCTTTGACCTCCCAAGGTCTTGTGGACAAGCCGTCCTACGGGCCTGCAGGAATCATTGATCACAAATGAAAATGTATTAAGGGTTTGTCCTGGTGTTTCTAGTGATTCCCTCAGCTTTATAGCTCAGTGTTTCCCAATCCGGTCCTCGGGGGCCAACAGTCGGTCCATGTCTTTGCTCCCTCCAAGCTCCCTGCCAGACAGTCCACATTTTTGCTCCCTCTGAGCTCCCTGCCAGACAGTCCACATTTTTGCTCCCTCCGAGCTCCCTGCCAGACAGTCCACATTTTTGTTCCCTCCGAGCTCCCTGCCAGACAGTCCACATTTTTCTTCCCTCTGAGCTCCCTGCCAGACAGTCCACATTTTTGCTCCCTCTGAGCTCCCTGAAGGACAGTCCACATTTTTGCTCCCTCCGAGCTCCCTGCCAGACAGTCCACATTTTTGCTCCCTCCGAGCTACCTGCCAGACAGTCCACATTTTTGCTCCCTCCTAGCTATCTTCTGGGACAGGGGCCGGAGCAAAAACATGGACTGTCTATGGGTCCCCAAGGACCAGACTCGTATAGCTTGCATAGGAGGTCCACATTTATCCACTGGGCCTGAGCCGTCATTGCTAAGCCGTCCAGTTGGGTGTAATTTAAAAGGACATTTAAGGCTATGAAGGTGAGAACAGTGAAGGGAAGGTTAGTCATAGCAGTCTGGGTGGGGCGTCTATAGTAGGATTTCCTCCTTTCTGCGGATTCACACTGAGCCACAGAGACCGGCAGGGTGGAGTGAACATCCTGTATGACGCAAGGCACCATTGGTGTGACCTTCCTCTGAAAGCGACAGCTCGAGTGACCGCGAGTCTGAGTGTGGCAGCACGCATGGGTGCCCCAAGTACCTCTCCTCACGCAGTGACCAAGTCTCTCGATGTGATGAACCGCAGCAGCGTTCCTGCAGTCGCTCTCACACTATTAGCGATATTAAACAGGCGCATCTGTTTTTAATTAGGAGATAAAGTCACATGGTCACCAGCGCCTGTTTCAATGCGTTTCCTCTCCCATTTTTACGACGCTCCCCGCAGTCGAACTGCAGGGTGCTGAAATTATTCTTCCTGCGATGGAAGGAAGAGCACAGCGGAAACCCAGGGGCTAAATGCTGGCAGGAGGCACAAATTTGTTCCCCTCCCCCACCCACTCAGCTGTGATGGCATTTCCTATTTCTGACTGTCCTCTCACATCGCACCCATCGCTCCTCGCTTCAGAACCACCCCAGGCCGGGAAACTACCAGTTTCAGCAGAACCTGGACTATTACAAGACCCGTGGTGCCGACCTCATGAACAAAACCCGGTAAGCTCATCCTCCAGGTCGCCATGTCTGTAGGTGACATGTTCCCTCGCTGAAGGCCGTGACACCAGGCGGCTGCCATTGCTAATGTGATAACTGTTCAAGAGCCAAACAACCCACTTGTCAGTTTTTCCTGCAAGGTTAAATAACAACTAGATTGCTGTAGTTGGTTTAAAAAACATTGCTATTGCTTTGGGGACGGCCAGTGACTCACCACCATTGTTACATGGCAAAATTCTTCTTTATGAATGGGTTTAGCTTTTGTACAGGAAGTGATATCATTTTGGCTTACCTAACCATTGAGGGTCAGGCACAGTGACAGGCATGCAGTTCTTTCTGCGGCGTCTACTCTGCCGAGTCGAACACATGAACACTGAGCACTTGGTCAAACTGCTCAGTCAGTGAGCAGATTTAGCTTGTGAAAAACAAGCTATGGCCCTCTTGTGTGTTCCCTCTATTTTGCAAACATCAATTTGTCCACAAGGGGTCGCCAGAGTTGACACGCAGCTCCCGGAAATTCGGTTTGTTGTGGTGACTGCAATTCAGTGACTGAAACTCAAGAACATTCTAGACAAAAAAATACTGAGATCTGTACAGATGGTGAGCCCCCCTATACGACAGATTGGCTCAGGGTGTGTTTGGTAGAGGGAGGGTGAGAGTCTTTCAGCTGGTGTTTGCACTCTGTCTGTCTGCACTGAGGTGTTATTCCCCTTCCATGTCCCCCATAGAGCTAATGCCAAATCAGCCCCCCTCAACATCAACAAGGTGTCCAACAGCCTGCTGAATTTTGGGAGGAAGCTGATCGCCCCGGCCATTGCCGGCACAGTCTCTCCCATGGGTGGCGAGGCTCTGTCTGCCCCCCCCCCCACGGTGCCGCGCTCCACGGCCGAACCCTGTGCCCCCGCCCCCAGCAGTCACACGCAAGCTCAAGGCCAGCACCGCCTACTCAAGTCAGAGAGCATGCCCGTGCATCTGAGCAAAGGTGAGCTGCTGCCAAGCTGTGTGACCGTCTCACTGCGTCCTGCAGGGGGCGCTGCGCTCTGCATTATGGGGCCACTCACTTCACTCTGCCATTTAAAATACAAAGGCTATGTGCAGGTACTATAGGTTACAGGAGACAGCCAATCAGATTTGAGACATTGCTGTATATGATAATGAAGAGCAAGTTTACAGTCAGGTTTAAATTGTTTGTAAATCATTGCTGAATAATTCTGAGTGAAAGGTCAGAATTACTGGAGGTTTTTGCTGCTGAATGACAGATATTTCATAGACGAAACTCTAAAGGCTACATTTTCTGCTGCCACCACTGGGTGGCGCCCTGGCCTGTGTCTCGCGGCTTGTTGTCCTGTTCTCCAGTGACTGGATCTGGTGTCACCTGTCTTGTGGCCTCACAGCTGTATGGAGCAGGTGTTGGTGTACTGGGGGGGGGGGGCTCTTCTACTGGGATGTTCCATACAGAGGCGGGTGGGTGGAGGTGCGGGGAGGGCCCCAGCGAGCTTGTGGAAAGTCTGCATCTATGTGCGTGTGTTTGGGCTGAAGTGCCTCTCCTGTCTGCCAGATGTAGGTGCAGGTGGAGCTGCACACGTCTCTGCTCCCGCCACCCAGATCCTTTCTGACGTCCAAGGTAACTGCTGCCACCATGACTATGCCTGCATGCTTTCAGTCGCTCATGCTACCCCCTTATTTTAAATAGCCAGCTTTATAGTGACGTTTCCATGCAGTATTAGCAGTCAACCACCAGAGGGCAACAGAACATCATTTTACAAAGCACTGCTTTCATAATTTCATATACTATTACATTTAATTGTTGGCGTAGGTTATGTTTTCCTGTTTTAGAGCTCTTTAGACGCCACATTTTTTCTTTCCCTGTAAAGAGGGTATTATTATGTTCTCTTGACTTTATGTGGGTTGGAATTCCATTATTCTTATTAGCTGGATTTCCATCATGGTGATTGGCCAATTGACCACCCTCAAAGTCATTTTTAATTGGCCTCCGTCTCAGGTCATTGGCGTCCAATTGTTGGCAGCTTTTCATGGGCGGTGATAGATGAGCTTCCCACCAGCGATCCATGCCGGGACGCGCGTTTGCCTGTTTCTGCGCGTGCCGGTCCGGGCACATCTCTCTAGGGCAATGCCAGTGTGCCAGTGTGCCAGTGTGCCAGTGTGCCATGGGCGCTGTTCAGCTGGAATTGGCACCGCCTGTGTCTGTTCGACGCCGTGTATCTGTGACTAACCAAACCGCGCTCTGATTGGTTATCTGCGTCCATGCCCACGTAGCCCTCTTTATCATCCAGGGAGGCTTTCCACGTGCTTTCGCTTTTCTTCCTTTCTTTTCTCCTCCCTCTCGTACGGTCTTTGGCAAACCGGCAGGTCGCGCCCCGTGGGCTCAGTGAATCCAAGACGGGGGCTGAGCTGCAGCCCCCAATGTGCTCAGACACCCACCTGCTGTTTGGCCTATAAAAAAGGTTGAAAACATTCCTCCTGAATTTCCTAACGTGCCCCTGGGAGCTGCGCGCCGGTTTAATGTCGAGCGGCGGAGGCAGCGTCGCTATTGGTTAAGCCTGAGCCACCCTGCAGACCCCTGCTCTCCTGCACCCAAACAGACGTGGCCTTTTCTCCCCCTGTCCCCACAGGTCAGAGCTCCAGAACTGTCAGCTCGTCTCCCAGCGTCGAGAGTCTATCTGGGGGCCGGGACCCCAGCACGGCCTCCCCGCCCCTGTCTGCCACTAAGAAAGACTCCTTCTTCACCATCTCCCGCTCCCGCTCGCACAGCAAGACCATGGGCAGGAAGGAGGCAGTGGGTTCCACCCGCCCTGAACTCTTTCTCCAGCCTCCTCTCTATCTCTTCCCCTGAAAGCACAGACCTCTGAATGTGTCCCCTACACGCAAGCCCAATTTATTCAAGGTGTCCTTCCCCTTTCTTCCAGGAGGAGGAGCTAGAGGCCCAGGTGTCCTTCCTGCAGGGCCAGATCAATGACCTGGAGGCAATGTGCAAGTACTGTGCCAAGATGATGAACATGCACATCGGTAAACCACCAGAAGCTAGCGTGGAATTTCTTAGCTTGTACTGTTGCGATGGCGAAGCTGATGGGGATTTCGGGTTGGGGCGGATTTTACTCCCTCTTGTCTTTCAATGACTTGAGAGCATCTGTCTGGAGCTCCTTATTGTTTTTTTTAATGGAAAAAGGCCGCCTCTTTAACCCCAAAGCCCTTCGCCTGATGTCTGGCGATGTGTCCTGTCTGTTAGCCTAAAAGTGGGCGCAATTAATTGAGCACACGAGGCCTCCAGCCCTGAGTGCTCACTAAGAAGCAGCCGGCCGATCGGCAGGCCTGATAGCGCCTGGCTCCATCCACTCCTGTTTGTGAACGTTTGTTTATCGCTATGAAGAGGTTTATTGGGCCACCTAGGCGGCCGCGCCAAGGTTGATAAGGGGCGGTAAACTGCCGAAGAGAGCCGACCGCGAGGGCAGAGTCTGAGGAGGATGCGGGAGATGGGCTGGCTCAGACCCGAGGGGGGGGGGGGTTCATAATGCCCTTCAGTGAGGTACTTAACCTGCTCCAGTGAAACCCCCAGCCAAGTGAATGGGTACAAAAATGAAGTCACCTCTCTGTTAATATGAAAGTATATTACAACGTCGTCTGGTGGTCGATAATGAACTACCTGTGATGTAAGCTAGCCTGATGCAGCCCCCTGCCCTATTTACGGCCTGACTGTGGGCTACGGCCCCCCTCCTTGATGCTCCACAGAATGTCCATTCAGACCCGCTGACCTGGGCCCATGACTCATCTGGAAGGTGTTTGTGGGGGCGGTACCCGGTTGCTCTCAGATGGGTTTAGAAATTAAATCTGCACTTGCCCAGTCAGAAGATTTGCAAGAGTTTACTGGTTTCAAACCAGTACTTCCAGCCCTGGGGACATTGGGGTTACCCCGAGGCCTTTGTTGTCTCCCTCGTTTTGGCCACGAACATTGAGGCAGTTTGATCTCCGCGCCTGATGCCGCTCTTGGTGACGATGACGACAGCCAGCCTGCAATGTCGGGGGAATGAGTAATTACAGCTAATCTGTGCAGCTTCTGGCCCCCCGGCTGTCTGACGGGGCGGGGGGGGGGAGGGGCTAAGCCTGTCTCTCCTGCCCTGGGGGTGGCCTGGGGGTGCGCATGGGCTGGCTTTAAGATGAACTGGTGGGTGGTTACTGTTGTGTTGACTGGTTTCATCTGGTTCAAATAGAAGTTTATCGGTCGCATGGCGTGACAAGCAGTCATTGCATGCAGTTCAGGGTCAGTAGTGCTCCAGATTATGTGGATCTAAGAACCACCCCCCCCCCCCCACCACCAAACAAAATTATAAATTCCTGACACAATTGTTCCAATTCATTAAAATCTAATTCGTTCTCAAAAGCAATTATGCATCAAAGACGTGTCGGTCCAACCCGCTGGTACCGGGGCGTTAGTGTCTGCTTCTGTCTTCGCAGGGAAGATCCAGGACGTCATCCTGCAGGAGAAGCTGGAGAAGGAGGACGAGGTGCTGGTGTCGCTGGCCGGGCTCAAGCAGGTAAACGGCGGCCTGCCGTCTGTCTCTGCAGGGACGCGTGTTTCCTGGGCCGTTTCATTTCCAGAGCCTGCCTCTGTGCGCCGATGTGCAAATTCGAGCAGATCCCGTGAGACGCGGCTCAGCCTGTGGGCAGAAAAGGCTCTCCTGAGGAGGAGGAGGAGGAGGAGGAGGAGGGTGGATGACAGATGCAGCTGGGTGGGGGTGGGGGGAGGGGGTGAGGTCTCTTGCTCCACCCTCAACTGGAGACAATGACTGGCACAGAGAAGGTCCTCATGGGCGTGGGCCTCCGCAATCCGGGCTTGGTAGTGATGCGTTGACATTCGGGAATGTTAATTAGCACGGGCCCGGCCGCCCGTCCATCATCCGAGCCACCGGGGGCGTCCCCGAGCCATCACTGGGGTGCAGATGTTCGCCAAGACCCACCACTGTCAAGACATGGTTTTCCAGCACAGAAATCAAAAAGCTCCATCTTTAAAAATAGATAAATGAAAGACATACGAGTTAGACAAGCAGTCCTGCCCCCCACCGACGTTCGGCCCCCTCTGCTCATCTGTCACAGCTCTGTTCCTCTAAATGGCCTTTTCTTGACTGATTTAATAATGAGGAAAGATAAGCCATGACCCCCCTTCAGACCTCAGTCACAGCATCTTTCTGCAGAAGTTCGGACCAATTGCTCCCCGTCGTTCCCATTTCCCAGGTGACCTTTGTTTTGATGCAGTGTACTAGGGTGATTCGGGGGGTGCCAGTCTCTCCAGGTTGGGACAGCCTTGCAACAGCTGGTGAGTCTCACCCCCTCGGTGTCCCCCTGTCGCCCGCAGATCAAGGACATCCTGAAAGGCTCCCTGCGCTTCAACCAGAGCCAGCTGGAGGCCGAGGAGAACGAGGAGATCACCATCGCCGACAACCACTACTGCTCCATGGCCCCGAAGGGGGGGGTTCGTGGCGGGCCCCAGGAGGCAGAGCATGTGGGGGGGTCGCCGCTCGACATGCAGGTAGGCCCCCCCTACTGTCGCACTCACTTCACTTCAGCCAGCGGGGGCCTGTGGATGTGTGTGCATTGACCTTGTTGGGGTTGGGGGGGTGCTTAGGCTGCAGAGTCAGGCCTGAACCCAGAGGGGAAGAACTGGGACGACTACATCCTGATCTCGCAGGACGAGGACATACAGCCCAGGCAGGCGGAGGAGAAGAGGTCTGGGGTCCAACCCCCGAGGTCCGGCCAGGGGCATCCGCAACTGGAGCAGGAGACGGGCGGCTCGTTCCACGACCCCCTGATGAGCACTCCGTCGGGGTCCTCCAGTCCAGAAGAGGGCAGCACCCACAGCAAGGACTCCGACTTCACGATAGTCAATCCTATGGACCTGTGAAAACCCACTGAAATATGGCCGCTTTCAGCTGGTGGACAAAAAGGTTCTGTGTACCTATAACAAATTAGAACAGCCCCCGCCATGCTGAGTCGCCCTCATGCAAGTATGGAGGCTCTGGGAGCTTGTTTTCCCCCATAAAGGTCTAACACCCCCCACCCTGTCCCTAACACACCCCGAGTTCTTAGACAAGTGACCAATCACATCGGTCTGTTTCTTTTTTAATCCCCTAAATTTAAAGGCAAAATGAATAAATATCTAAGGTAGTTTTTTTTTTTTTAATTGTGATTATGAATCTTCTTTTTTAACCCTTACTTTGGACAGTCCTGATGGCTGCCGTGTACAAACTGCAATATCCACCAAATATTAATAAATGATAGGAACAGATCGTTCTTTATAGTAACAAACATGCTTTATTGTGTTTATCACGGGTGTGGGACACCATGTGGGGGCGCTGTTCTACTGGTGTGTGTGTCTGTGTGTGTGTCTGTCTGTGTGTGTGTGTCTGTGTGTGTGTGTCTGTCTGTGTGTGTGTGTCTGTGTGTGTGTGTCTGTCTGTGTGTGTGTGTGTGTGTGTGTGTGTGTTGGGGGCGAGGGAGGCTGGTCAGCATTTATAGCCTAAAGCCTGTAGACTATAGAGCGCAGGGTATATACATCAAGCATATATATCAAAGTGTTCATACAAGCCTATTGCCCCCCCCCCCACACGGAGCCCGTGTTTTATTGTTCTCTGCCCCCAGCCTCCCACAGTGTTGGTCTTAATGGAAAACGAGGCTGAACTG